TACATGCACAAGGAAATGAGTAAAACAATGTGGTCATGACTACTCACTGTAAGCCTCTGCCATCAGCCATTTCTAAAAGTGTATTTCTTATTTACCTATTGTATACACCAAAGTTACTTTCTCAAAAGTAATTTTAGGTACCCCCAAAAGTAAAACAAAATCAGGTGACAAAATACAAAAGAGAACAGAGTTTTATTAGATATGAGTGAATTGGTCTGCTTACAACTCCTGGGAGACATGAAGAAAAACAGATTTCTTTCAAACACAGAAGAAGTCTTTGGTGCCTTTTCTGTTTTCACCAGTGGATCCCAGGCTGTCAGAAATTCCTTTTCTTCTTCTTCTTTTTTTTTTTTTAGGTGCTTCATGTGGCATTGAGCATGGCAAGAGAAAGGAGGGACAGGCAGAAGTAAACAGAGAAACAATGTAGCTGACTGAAAAGTTTTTACAAAGAGAGAACAGAGGCTTAAAACTAGTGTGTGTGTGTGTGTGTGTGTGTGTGTGTACATATATACCCTAGATATCAGTTTTAGTTAAGTCTACTTTTGACTATTGAGCTCTTAAAAAAAAAAAACAAACAACTTTTAAACTCTTTTACCACCAGATTTTTGCCATAACAAACAGCTGGTATTTGAAAAATCATAAAAATATCAAACCAGAAAGGACTCATTCTCTGGCTGGAAAACAAACCCGAGTCACCAAGGTGAAAAGGGAAGAACCTTAGCTACTGAACTGCAGCATGGGGTGGTGTCCGTTGTTTTTCTTAGAGGGAATCTAGAGCAATTTTGAGCTTTTAAAGATTTTAAACTTTTTTTTTATGTTAGATTTTGCTCAAGCAAGTTCTCAAGACTAGCTATGACACTATTATGTGTCCTTTTTAAAATTGAATTTTCCCATCAATTCTTTAGAGTAAGAGATCTCTAAAACCTTTTTTATGTTTCTTTTGGCATTGACAATTAGGATTTTCAGTGGTGTACTTTATTCTGATAGCAACTCAGTGCAAAAATCTCTCTGTGTAAAGCCCAGGTCATACTTTTCGAGGTTTAGAATAAGATTTTATATTCCTGGAGAGGGCAGAAAGGAGGCAGTCCCCATGATCCCTAAAAATTCACTCTTAGAAATAGATTTAAGATAACAAAAGATGACAAAAACCCCATAGGGATGAGATCTTTTAAGAAAAAACTTCCCTAAGAAGTTGACACATTTGAAACAAAAAGTGTACTGCTTAAAATATTAGTTGTCTTGGATTCCCAGTCTTTGCAGACTGGCTTCCTGATGTGAACCTGAAAATTCCTGCCCTCCAGTTAGTGGAGACTAAGAGAATATGCCCACTTGGTGAGAAAGTCAAGCTCTCAAGGACATAAAACAAAATGACAAGGAAACCTCACCCAGGTTTTATTTCAGGGGCCTACAGCAAAGTTTGTCTTAACAGATACTAGTATAGTCTGAACTGCAGAACTGACCAGTCTGCAGGGCCAGCTTGAACAGTGAGCATATAGGGGTTCTAGGCCCATGTTCTATCCTATGGTACCCCTCTTTATGACAGACTGACACAGAAAGACAAAGACAAAACAGCACCAAAAAAGGCTATTTCTTTCCAAAAATTTGGGAGATCAGGGATCTCTGGAGGAAGAAGCTCCCAGACCTCAGCAAATCATCCAATCAGTCAGAGTAATAAAGAGCTTTTAGTCAGCTGGTAGGAGAGCTGCTGCAGGCCAAAGGGCAACAGTCAACTCAGAATCCCTTCATGTTTGCCAAAATGTAAACCCAAAAGTGTCTGAGACAAGTCTCAGTCAATTCAGAGGTTTATTTTGCCAAGGTTGAGGATGCACCTGGGAAAAAGAGGCACAATCACAGTAGGATCTTTTGCCTGTGCATTTTCCAAAGAGGGTTTTGAGGTCTTCAATATTTAAAGGGGAAAGAGCAAGCAGCAGGGGAATGAGGGAAAAAGAGACAGGAGGGTGAACAATGAGGTAAATAGTGACATTCTTATGAGGCTTTGATTAATGCTTACTGAATCCACATTCTATATGTGAAAGGAGCCAGTAGAGGAACTGTTATTTATACGTTCATCTCATGCTCAGTAAATATGCATTTTACATAAACCTAGAATATGGGAAGAAGTCACATTTACATTTGTCTTGGGGTGGGCAGAGGCATGCTTTGTAGTCTTATCTTTGTCCTGTGCCCATGAAGATAAGCTGTTAATTTACATTGTCAGGGTGAGATTCAACAGAACTCTATGTTTTGGGGTTAATTTATTGAAGGGATATTTATTCTGAGAGATTTGGGGGTCCACAAGGAATTTCCTTGTAAGAAATTTGTGAGGGAGGCCACCTGGAGAGATATGTGGCCTTCTATCATTGTAGCTTTCTATTTAGGAAAAGGAAGGCCATTTTTTACATGAATCTGTTCACAAGCTTTATGTTTACCTTTGGCATTGTGATTTGGGGGACTTAAGATTTTATTTTCCTTTTAGTTATTGTTATCTATAAAAGCTAAAATGAAAGTGAAAGAGAGTGCCTGGTTGGGCCTTGAGCCTAGACCAACCTCAGATATGGGTCTGTCTGAGCTCAGGTTCTTAGCCTCAAATGTACCCACAAGGGAGAAAAAGTAAGCCAGCACAACAGAAAGTACCTTTAATGTTTGTGGCTAGTAAGTGTGGCAGAAGGGCAAAAGCAGGTAACAGTTGAAACCATAGGGTATAGTATGAAGGAATCATTCCATTTCCTACAACAGTATCAGCAGCTCCCTGAGGAACTTTTCCAAAATTGGATTGTGAGAGTAACTACTTTGGAAGCAGTGGCTTTGGTTTGAAATGCTGGGCAGTGGAAAACATGTTTGGGTGATGCAAGACCCACAGGTCACTATAGAACAATTGCAGATTCATACATATGATCCAGACACATAGGAGGTTATTCCTGAGAGAAGAACTGGGCTGGTGGACTGGATAAAAGCCACTGTAAGATCCTTTTACTCTGAAAAGGGGGTCTGTTCAACTCCCCCTATAAATGCCAAGTTGGGTACTTCAGATGAAGCATGTACAAGCCATGTGTAATTGGCTTTATGAGGACCGGGATATTCACCCACTGAATATGCCTGTTACCCAGGTTATGGTAAATGCTTTGGGTAAGGGGACCCCCTCTACATGGGTACCACATGTAATGACATCACTCCTGAAAAGTGGAACAAGAGTCCTAGAAGCCTTATCAAATTTGTTGTCTCAGCTTTCCTTGATGGGTCTTACAGATATTAATTTTAAAAGCTAGGTTAATTAACAAGAATGTGGTGAAGGTTAGAGGACAGAGTCAAAGGACTCATCCCAGAAGGGTGTAAATTTTTAAATGTTTACTAAGAAATAGGATGAATAGGCCAGGTACGATGACTCACGCCTGTAATCCCAGCACTTTGGGAGGGTGAGGCAGGTGGATCACAAGGTCAGGAGTTAGAGACCAGCCTGGCCAACATGGCGAAACCCTGTCTCTACAAAAATACAAAAATTAGCCAGATGTGGTAACAGGCACCTGTAATCCCAGCTACTCAGGAGGCTGAGGCAGGAGAATCGCTTGAACCTGGGAGGTGGAAGATGCAGCGAGCCAAGATCACGTCATTGCACTCCAGCCTGGGCGACAAGAGCAAGACTCCATCTCAAAAAAACAAAAAACAAAAAACAAAGCACTGATAAGGGTGAAACTAAAAGGAAAAAGAAAGGGGAGAGTCATGGGACTCATCCCAGCAGGGTAAACATGTTTAAATATTTATTAAAAATGGGATAAATACAACAGAAATTGATGGGGTTAAAACAAAGGTCTTAATACAACACTATCAAAGGTTGGGTAGACCAGAGGGAACCCCGACTGTCTACAAACATTATAGGGCCCAAAACAGTTTTCTGTATTTGCCCCAAATTTGTGAAATTTAAGAAAAAAATGAGAAGGTAAAGATTATAATGAGAAAGCTGACTAAAAATTGTCTGGGGCAATGTTGAGGCAGTTAATCAAAATAAAGATTGACCAATGAGCCCAAGTCCCTTGGCTCAACTCACTGCTGGGAACTCAAATCCTTTTTCACAAGAAAGGGTAAAATGGTCTAGGGATGGAGAAAAAGGTTCCTGGAACTACAACATAAAATGTAAGGGTCGATAGGATTTTAAGAATTAAAATGTTTGAACAGGCTTTATGTAAAGTAGCTGTGTCTCCTTTACCTAAATGTTTTCTGGGAATGGACATTGTATATGACTGGAGGATGTTTACCTTTCCTGGTACTGTGAAGCAGAAAGCATGTAAATCTTCTCTTTGGACATTATTAATTGGACATGCTCAGAGGGAACCCGTAAGACTGACCAAGCCCACGAAGTGTAGAATAGAAGCTGAAGTGCTGGTAGGGAACAAATTATCCACCGGATAGCTCCTTGTAGAAAGTTTATTGGGGCTTATGGCAAAAGTCTATGAGCACCTTCACTAGAGAATTTTCGTTTGGGGGCATTTGCTGCCTTGTAATTGGATGTTAACTAAAGCTACTTCTATAATTCAAGGACATAAAATGGCCTTGACACCTGAAGTGATAATGTCTGAATGTCAGAGAAACACTCTAATGAGGATAGCAGCACCCAAAAGAGTCCCACTAATAAAATGGGAATGGTTTGTGCAGGATTTATGCTATCTGAAGAATGCAAGGAGGAGATATGAGCAGGGAGCCTCTTTTTCCCTAGGACTGACTCTGAAACTGTGTGGGGTGCTGCTGGATTCTACACTGTATAATAAACAGCTCTCACCTGACTGGCAAAGAGCTGCTTGGTGTGTGGATGGCAGTTCCAAAGTGAGAAAGGAAAATATCCTGTTTGGAAGGCTGCTACTCTAATTGTAAAGTACACTATTGTGAACAAAATTTACCTGTCTCTCTACCTGATATCTGCAAAACTGGAAACTATTCATATATTCTTATGATATGGGAATATAGTTATTTGCATAAGTTTGGTAAGAATCTGTTTTCTTTTGTAACAGGACACAATTGGAGACACAGGTTCTTTTATCAAGGCCTTGACTGGAGTGGCATGTTTTCAGATATGACCACATTGCTTTGAGGAAATGAGGTTGATGTTGTAGAGCTGATAAAGCCCCCACACAAAGGCCAGCCTACCTCTGGTAAGTAAAAAATGTCACTTTCTGGCAGGCCCAGGAACTCACGTTATTTTTGGGCCTCAAGAAGAGAGGAATACACCTATTCATATAGGTATGACAGGCACAATCGGATACTGAATCCTTGACTTGGTTAGCCTCAGGGCTTATAGAAGTCTAATCTGAGACTCCTTATGAAAAGTGTCCCAGTGAAGCCAGCTTAAAAGGAGACAATATGGCCAATCCCTATTCTCCCTGCACTTTATGCAAATAGTCAGGTCAAGTTAATGAGACTAAATTTATTTCACAAGTAAATTGGTCCTACTTTGACTTATCCTTAGTAGAAATGGGAAAACTGTTGAGAAAAACTATGTTTCAGAAGAAAACTATAGTATGCTCATTATTAGATTGTAGCCTTAATCATTGTTTTTGAGTTTTATTATTTGCCTACAATTCAAACTGAATCCTGAATTATTTCCTCGCTACAAATTTCTAAAGAAAAACTGAGATTTAATTGTCTTCATGCCCTTTTTGATTGTAATCCTTGTGTGCATTGTATTTTTACTATTCAAATTATTAATGTTATATATCTCTCATTTTTCTTCTTCCAAGAAAACTAAAGTCACGGTATTTCACAATGACTAGAGATGACAAAACAAAGCCTGTGAATCTCCCTAATTTGGAATGCTACTGGGTCTGATCTGTTTTTCCTTGCCAACCCATTGCTGCTAAAGTTGCACAATATCAAGCACTTTCCCTAAAGGCTCAGAAGAGGAGGGTGTGTGAGATTAAGAGGGGTGGAGTGTGGGGGCTAAAGCAACTCCATCTTGGATATTGATCTGTCATATTGAGTTCTGACTAAGCCCATTTCCAAAAAGGCCTCTAAGGTTTTTTTGTTTGTTTGTTTTGCTTACTGTTCCTTGTGTAGGATCGTGTACTTACCTTACGTCCTGCCCTTGAATAATTGTCCTACACATCCCTTCTGTATCACGTATACCCTTTCCCCATGGTATATAAGCTCTGGTTCTGGGTGTAATGGCATGGGGATCCACCAACCTGTCTCCACACTACCTGAGACACAGACGTGGTTTCTATTCATAAGTCACTATTAAATGTTTCTGCCAGGTGCAGTGGCTCACGCCTGTAATCCCAGCACTTTGGGAGGCAAAGCAGGATGATCACTTGAGGCCAGGAGTTCAAGACCAGCCTGAGCAACATAGTGAGACCCCCTCCTCCCTTTACAAAACATAAAAAAGTTAGCTGGTCATGGAGACACATGCCTCTAGTCCTAGCTACAGAGGCTGAGGCATGAAGATTGCTTGAGCCAGGAGTTCAAGTGGCCGTGATCATGCCACTGTACTCCAGCCTGGGACCCTGTCTGGAGGGAAAGAGAGAAAGAAAGAAAAGAGAGGAAGGAAGAAGGGGAGGAAGGAAGGAAGGAGGAGGGAGGAAGGGAGGAAGGGAAAGAGAGAGAGAAAGAGAAAAGAAGAGAAGAGGCCGAGCATGGTGGCTCACGCCTGTAATCCCAGCACTTTGGGAGTCCGAGGTGGGCGGATCACAAGGTCAGGATTGAGACCATCCTGGCCAACATGGTGAAACCCCGTCTCTACGAAAAATACAAAAATTAGCTGGGCATGGTGGCACACGCCTGCAATCCCAGCTACTCGGGAGGCTGAGGCAGGAGAATTGCTTGAACTAGGGAGTTGGAGGTTGCAGTGAGCTGAGATCATGCCACTCACTGCACTCCACCTTGGCGACAGAGTGAGACTGTCTCAAAAAACAAGAAAGAAAGAGAGAGAGAGAGAAAGAAAGAGAAGGAGAAGGAAAAGAAGAAAAGAAGAAGAGGAGGAGGCAGGGAGGAGGGAGGGAGGGAAAGAGGGAGGGAGGGAGAGAGGGAGGGAGGAGGGAGGGAGGGAAGGAGGGAAGGAAGGAAGGAAGGAAGGAAAGAAGGAAGGAAGGAAAGTTTCTTCCTGAGAAACTGGGTATGTAAGCCTCTTTGGGCTCTTAACTTCCTTGGAATTTTAGTGGTTGGTTTGCATAGGCTTGCTCACTGTGGAACATTGAGGTGAATTTCACATAATGTAAAATTAACAGTTTTGAAGTGAACATTTTAGTTGCCTTTGAGGTTAATCCTTGTTGTAGGATGTATCAGTACTTCCTTCCTTTTTATGGCTGAATAATATTCTATTGAATAAATATGCCACATTTTGTCTTTTTTCACTCATCAATTGATGGACACTTGGGATGTTTCCACCTCCTTTTGGCTATTGCAAATAGGGCTGCTAGAACATTCATTCGTGTACAAGTATTTGTTAAAACACCTGTTGCCAAATCTTTGGGATAGATACTTAGAAGTGAAATTGCTGGGTGATATGGTAATTCTATATATAATTTACTGAGGAACTAACAAATTGTTTTCCTTAGAGGCTGAACCATTTTACATTCCTACCAGGAATGTACAAAGGTTTGAATTTTTCAACATCTTCACCAACACTTGCTATTTCCCCATCTCATCCTTTTTAATAGCCATAGTTACAGAATTATACTCATTTCTAGTGGATGTGAAGCTGTATTTCATTGTGGTTTTGATTTGCATTTCCCCAATGACTGATGATCTTGAGCATCTTTTCATGTACTTGTTGTCCATTTGTTTATCATTTTTGGAAAAATGTCTAAGTCCTTTGCCCATTTTTTAAATTGGGTTGTTTGTCTTTTTGTTGTTGAGTTGTAAGAGTTCTTTACATATTCTGGATGTTAAACTCTTACGAGATATATAATTTGCAAGTATGTTCTTCCATTCTGTTGTTGTCTTTTCACTTTCTTGAGAATATCCTTTGACAAACAAAAGTTTTTAATTTTGAGAAAGTCCAATTTATTTTTTTCTTTTGTTGCTTGTGTTTTTGATGTCATATCTAAGACTCCATGGCCAAATTCAAAGTTATAAAGATTTATCCCTAACTCTTCTGAGAGTTTATAGTTTTAGTTCTTATATTTAGGTCATTGGCCAATCATTGCAACTTAACTTTTGTATATGGTATGAGATGGGGGTCTAATTCCATTCTTTTGCATGTGCATATCCAGTTGTCCTGTACCTTTTATTGAAGAGACTATTCTTTCTACCAGTTTACCAGTTTTGTCCTTAGTTTACTCTTCTTTTTCCCTGTTCTTTAAGGAATAGGGTTAGGTTATTGATTTGTGATATTTCTTCTTTTTTAATGTAGGCAGTTACAACTATAATTCCGCTTTGAGCACTGCTTTTGCTGCATCCTGTAAGTTTTGGTAGGTTGTATTTTGCCTTTAATTTTTTTTTTTTTTGAGACGGAGTCTTGCTCTGTTGCCCAGGCTGGAGTGCAGTGGCGTGATCTTGGCTCACTGCAAGTCCTCTATTTACTTATTCATCTGCTATTAAATGTTCTATCTATTATTTGTTTCTCTTTTTTTTTTGTTTTGTTCTATTATTGAAAGTGGGTTATTAAATCTCCAATGATTATTGTAGAATTAGTTCTCCTTTATTTCTATTAATGCTTTCTTAACATATTATGGGGCTCTGCTGTTTGGTGAATATATTTTTATAATTGTTAGATCTTGGTAATGAATTGACCCTTTTATCAATATATTATAATATCCCTCATTTTAAAGTCTATTTGGACTGATATTAGCATAGCCACCCCGGTTCTCCTTTTGTTACTGTTTGCATGGAATATCTTTTTCCATTGTTTTACTTTCAATATATTTGTCTCTTTGAACTCAAAATGAGTCTTTTGTAGATACCACATAAGTGGATCATGTTTTTTTTAAATCCATTCTGCCAATCTCTGTCTTTTAATGGTGAGTTTAATTTTTTAACATTTAAAGTGATGACTGATAAGAAAGCAATTACTTCTATCATTTGCTATTGTTTTCTACAAGTTTCATATACTTTTTGTTCCCCAAATACTGTCTTTTGTGTTTGATTGTGTCTGTCGTGTTTTTTAAAGTGTACCATTCTGATTCCTTCCTCAGTTTTTCTGTATATATTTTAATTATCTTTTTGTGGGTACTCTGGTGATTACAAACAACACCCTAAATATATAAAAATACAGTTCGAATTGATATCAACTAAGTTTTAGTAGCATACACAAAATCTATTCCTATACAGCTTTGTTATTGTCACAAATTGCATCTTTTATACATTGTGTGCCCATTAGCATACTTTATAATTATTGTTTTCTACATTTGTCTCTCAAACAACATAGGAAACAATAGGGTACAGACTGGGCTCACAACTGCAATCCCAGTAATTTGGGAGGCCAAAGCAGGAGGATCTCTTGAGGCCAGGAGTTCAAGTCCAGCCTGGGCAACATAGCAAGACCCCCATTCTACCAAAAAAAAAAATTAGCAGGATGTGGTGGTGTGTGCCTGTAGTCCCAGCTACTTTGGAGGCTGAGGTCAGAGGATCACTTGAACTGCAGTGGGGTTTGAGGCTGCAGTGAGCTGTGATTGTGCTACTGCACTCCAGCCTGGCTGACAGATTAAGAACCTGTCTCAAAAAGAAGAAATTAAAAAATAAAGATATAGGAGGCCAGGCTCAGTGGCTCACACCTGTAATCCCAGCACTTTGAGAGGCCGAGGCGGGTGGATCATGAGATCAGGAGTTTGAGACCAGCCTGGCCAACATGGTGAAACTCCATTTCTACTAAAAATACAAAATGATCTGGGTGTGGTGGCACGTGCCTGTAATCCCAGCTACTTGGGAGGCTGAGGCACGAGAATCGGTTGAACCCAGGAGGCAGAGGTTGCAGTGAGCTGAGATCGTACCACTGCACTATAGCCTGGTGACAGAACCAGACTCTCTCTCTCTCTCTCTCTCTGTATATATGAAACAAAATGAAGACTTATACTAAAAATACAATAATACTGACCTATGTAGCTACCTATATTGGAGTTCTTGATTTTCTCATATATTTTCGTGTTAGTGCTTAGCATTCTTTCATTTCAGCCTAGAGGACTCCCTGTAACATTTTGTATAGGGCAAGTCTACTAGGAAC